CAACATTAATTCATAAATATGAGTTTTTTGGAATGGAATTTTTTTCTCAGTGAGGGTAGATAATGTACTCACATTAGTTGCCTAGTTAATGACTGAGTCAGGGTTTAAATCCAGTTCAGCTGGACTCCAGAAATCAATAAATAATCTTTCCCCTGTGCTCTGCAAATAAAAAACTTCATGAATGTTTTTAATAGCCATAAAAGAAAACTCCAGTACAAAAATTTTGGAGCTGGGCTTGGGACTAAATTACCAGCTACAAAGATTTGTTATACTGTTACAGCAAGAAAAAAAGAGGTAGACAGATTCAGGACATAAAACCTTCATTAAGAAATTTTAAGTCCAACCTGTCTTTGTTACTGAAAGGGAACAGCAGCAAAAATAATTCCAAATGGGCTAACCCATAAATAATTGGTCTTCCCACTACACATACTTTATCCTTCCCCAGCTCGTAGGGTGAAGAATTCAGCAAAGTCAGATCAAGTGCCATAATCATTACAGATCCTGAAAAGGCAGACACAGGGAGAGAGAGTGTGTGTGCTGTGTAGTTTGCAACATGATTCCTATAGGCAATAATTAGGAATGGCAAAGAGAGACAAGTGTGGTTCTGGCCTGTGGATACATAAAGAGTCTTACTTTAAAGAACCCTGGAGGCCAGGAAGGTAGCTCAGTAGAATAAGTGCTTGCCTGGCTAAGAGCAGGGAAAAAAACAAAAACAAAAAACAAAAAAAAAGAACCCAATAAAGAACCCTGGAAATGGGGAAAAAAATAGAAGAGCTAATTATTTCTTTCATTCTTGTTTTTAAGGCATCATAACTACAGGTCCAGTAAAATAATAATAGTAGCAATAGTAGCTATGTATTGAGTGGTTACTGTCTCAGTTACAATTCTGTTGTTGCTGGGACAAATAGCAGACACCCAAAAGGAAGGAAGGAAAGGTTTATTTAGCTCACAGTTACTGGAGGGTTCAGTCCATATTCCGCTGGCTCCAAGGCAGAGTGGCACAGGGCAGAGAGCAACCATTCACGGTGGTGGCAAAGAGCAAGAGAGAGCCAGAGGGAGCAGCTGCTCAAGCAGCTAACTTCTTTTCCCTCCTTACACTGAAATGCAAATTGCCTGCCCCAGGGCAGGTGCAGCATCCATCCACACCTACAGTCACCAATCACAAACTCCAGAATCCTCCCCAAGACTGCCTGAGGGGGGACACCTATACACAAACCACAACAGTTCCTATGCATTTTAAGATGCTGGTATTTATATTTACCATTTAATTTAGCACCTAGATTTTCAGGGTAGTCTCAGGTTTAACAGCTCTACAGTCATATTAAACACATACTTTTTGAGCCTCTTCTAAGTTTCAGTCCTTAGGGTATAATTTACAAATATGAATAAAATGTTCCCCTTGGATTTCAAAAAAATGGACTACAGACAGATTGTATTAATTATACAATCTATAACAGGGCACTGAGGGAAGGCGCTGGGATTATACAGGAATTTCCCAGTAACTTTCATACTTGGAAAAAAGTGACAGGGAGGTTAGAATTTAAACTCAGAATTTAGATTTCAGCTGCCTGTGTTCAAATTCTGACTACTAACTTCACTTGCTTAGTGGCCCTTGATCTCTCTGTGCCTCATTTTCTCACTTATAAAATAGATGTGATATCAGTGTTGGACTAAGGACTGCTATCACCTATTGGATGAGTGACTGATACGTACAGTGCTTGTTCTGAATAAATATCACCTGTTTTTCTCAGCCATGTATATTGGCAGCTTAACTAAGGCCGGCGCACTGCATTGTTTTAATGTGCGTGCTCCCTAGACCTTTCGAGAGAAGAATAACTTTTGCTCTAAAAGACCTAGGTCAAGCATATCGCTGGTAGTAATCCAAGCAAGAAAGTCTGTAATCATAGTTTCAAGTTAATTACTTAATTGATCATTTGGTCTTGAGCATCAAGTATATGCCAGATGTCATTCTGGATACACAAGGATATGGCACTGGACAGTACAGAAAAACAAATATAAACACAAACAAAAAACTCTGCCTGCAGAGAATTTCACTCTAGCAAAGAGAGATAAGTACTAAGAGTAATTAAAAGTACATCTTACAATTGCTATAGTTTGGCTCTGGAGTGTCTCCGGAAGGCCATGAGCTAGAAGCTGGGCTCTGAGGTTCTGGTGTTCTGAGGTGGGGGAATCCTGAAGAGGTGGAAACTGGTGGGAGGTCTGTAGGTAAGTGGTTGCTAACTCTTAAAGGAGATTGGGAAACCCCAGCTCTATCCTCTCTTCCTTATCTTTTTGCTCCCTGCCCTTGAGGTGAATTGCTCTACTGTGCTGTCTGCTCCCACCACAATATGCTGCCTTGCCACAAGCCCAAAGCAACACGGCCAATCCCACAATATCATAAAAGGTAGTAATTCTTCTGTTAATATAAGAAAAGAGTTTATTGGTATGGAAAATGTATGTTACATTTTAGGTAAAGTGGTCAGGTTAGACCCCAGCAAGATGGCAACATTTGAACACCACGTTTTTGTTTTTCATTTTGGTATAGGATCTCACTAGGCAGCTCAAACTCATAGTGATCCTCCTGTCTCAGCCTCCCCAGTGCTGGGATTACAGGTGTGCATCGCTACACCCAGTTTTGGTGGCCAGCATTATGTACCCATGGTTCTGGGGCCAGCATGACATGCAGTGCCAGGGATCGAACTCAGATCCTTCCACTTGCCAGGCAGGTGCTTCAACTACTGAGCTATATGCCCAGCTCTGAACAACATCTTAAAGGAAGTGAGAGATCAAGACACAGAGACACACAGAGCAGGAGATGGAAAGTTCTAGGCAGAGAGGACAGTCAGCACAGAGGCACTGCAATGGAAGTGAGATATCTCTCTACCAATCTAGACTAGTAATATTGAGGAGCCATTGTGGAAAGAGGTGGGTGACATGGGAGCAGCAGAAGATAAGAGCAGAGAGGACAGGTCGGGTACTTCTCTAGGCCAGTGTATAGATGGTTTTTGTTCTGACTGAGACATGGCAAGATTTTGAGCAGAGGAGTGGTTTGTCTCTGCTAATGTTCAAAGGGGATTGTTTTGTTGTTTTGAGAATATCCTGTGTGATGGCAAAAAGTAAAAACAGAAAAGACTTCCAAATAGATCCAATAGATTGGAGAAAAATAGAAAATGTAGAAGGCACCAAGGTTTTCTGTCCCATAAAGGGACAGCATTAGTTGAAGAGGAATGTTTGGGAGACAGAAGGAGGAGTTTCAAGACTCAGTGCTGGAAATGCTAAGCATGGGAAGCCTAGTAGGCATCTAGGAGTGAGGTTGGCAGGAATTGAGAGTTTGGAAGAGGTGGCCACACTGAAGGTGAAGTCTGGGTTTTTTTGGTACTGGGAATCAAATTTAGGGCCTTGAACTTGCCAGGCAGGCGCTTATGCCACTGAGCTGTCTCACCCAGAGGTGAAATTTGGAATGATCAACATGTAGATGGGCATGTAGTGCCAAGAGACAGGGTTAGATCACAAAGGGCGAGTAGGTGGGGAAAATTAGAGACTCCAAGTCTGAACCGTAGATACTAAATGTTTTGTTTTTTTGTGGTGTCTGGGATCAAACTTGGAACCTTGGGCTTGCCAGGAAAGTGCTTCTGATCTATATCCCTGGCCCCTAGGTACTCAAGTGTTCACAGATTGGGAGACAAGAAAAACAAAGGACAATAGGTGGGATAGGATGAGTAGGTCATGGAAGTCAATTAAAAGTGTTTTCCAGGAAGAGAAAATATCTACCATTGTTTGCTGCCAATACTTAAGTAGGATGAAGAATGCAAACAATCTTTTAAATGTATTGTTTGATCTCTGTTGGTGGTTCTGTTGTTGTTGTGATTGTTGTTGTCTTAAAAGGAATCAAACTCACAACCTCACGCTTGCCAGGCAGGCACTGTGCCGCTGAGTTACATACCTGGCCTGGTATTGTTTGATCTCAACAGAAACAATTCTATGGATGCAGCAGAAGCATTTGCTGATTGGAATAAACAGATCTTTAAAAAAAATATATTTAATGGAGTTTCACAATAGCAGAGCAGAAAAAAAGGTCATGTGGTTGGTAGGAACAGTGGAGTCAAGAGAGTTTTATTTTTTAAAGTGGGAGAGATTGCAGAAATTGCATAATCTTGATGAGATTATACAATAAAGAGGCAAGCATGATGCATGAGAGAATTATTGAAGCACTTATGTATTGGGTTGATTTATATGTATTTCTGTGAGGGTAAAACCGAGGCAGGAAAGAAAGTTTCTATAAAAATCCTGGGACTCTTCCAGGTGAGATTCTCCCTTTAATTAGAAACCCTGATTTTTCGGAACGAGTGAAAAATGTATTGAATAAGCTACTCATTAGGTGGATGCTGAGTGTACTGAAGAAGCCAGGTTCTTTGCATGTATGGCACAGGAGCTTACTAACTGCCCTGCAGCCCCGGGACCATTACAACTGTCACAGATGAAAAAATTGTTGCTAAGAGCTAAAACAATTTAGCCAAAGCTACACTGTCCTAAGTTAAATATACACTTTTTTTTTTTTTTCTGGCTATTATGAATTCCTTCACGGTTGTTGTTCTTCTTCCGTGTAACCCCAGGGACTGGCCCAGCATTTGACCGAGATAAGACTGTGGGCCGCCCAGGGTCCATTTCCTTGCCTTCGGAAAGGTATATTAGGAAGCATGGACCCTTTCCCTGTGAAGGGAAGGGGAGGAGAGGGGAGGGTGTGGGGCGGGAAAAAGTCGCGAAAGGAGAAAGCGGGAAAGGAAAGGGAGGCGAGGGAGGGAGGAGAGAAAGAAAGGGTGAAAGAAACTTGCAAGAGAGCAGATTGCAGGGCAGCCCTATCGAATGCATTTTAACCCCAATCCCACCGAGCCCCTCTGAGACGGTTGGCCTGGCCTTCACAGCTGCTTCCCTGACGCACCAGGTAGACCTGCCCGGGGGCGAACGGTGCAGGGGTGTGGCCACCTGGAGTTTCCCCAGCACACTGCATGCTCCGGGAGGAAATTATCACCCGAGGACGTACACTCCTCCCGTCCTCCTCCCAGCTCATACGAAGTCTCTTCTGCTTTGCCGAGAGCCTGGCTTTGAGACTGGGGTGCCGGGTGGTGGGGCGAGCGGCTGCGCGCTTCCAGCAGCAGTAAAACCCCAAAGCGAAGTGCCGAGAGCAGCGGATCCCCGACCGGCTGCGCGGCCCGACGCTGCCCGAGAGCGCAGGGACCCCGCCAGGTGAGGAGGACCCGCCGGCCAGGCCGGGGCGAGGTTACTTTCGCCCCACACGGAGCCGCCCGCGGGCTGGGGCGGAGAGCGGACGGTGTGGGCGGCCGCGGAGGGGCGCTGTGGCTCGGCGAGTCGGGAGGCGGCGGGCGC